TTTGGTATATTATGCTCTGGTCATTTTCTCTGAAGAAGACCTGCTATATCTAGGTAATTCCTCTTCTTTTCTTTGACTTCCAGTTCCAGAAATGACGTCTGCTGAAGGAGAACATGTTCTAGCAATGAAATCTTCAAAAGACTCCTGCTGCTGCTCTGTGACTGCGACCCCCAGGTTATCTTTGGAAGTTTCTAAGGCCTCCTGAGTAGAGACTGGGACATGGAAGGAGTCGACAGGCAAAGGAATCCCAGCATCACCTGTAATTTTCTGAAACTGGAGGGAAAGACAAAAGACAAGACAAAAATTCAGTGATGAACAAAGCCAACCATTAAAAAGTAGAGTTCAAAACTTCAGTGTTACTCTGTGATCTTATTATTAACACAGTCAATTGATTATTCAGAAGATTTCAGAACCAGTTTTTCTCTAATTATATCCTGCCAAGTGATTCTCAGCTTAACCTAGCTATATCCAAGGCTATGTCCGCTACATTTTCAGACTTTGGTGACTGGGGTAGTTATTACCCATTTCCTTCCCCTCACTAAAAATAAAACCCTACTCTGTAAGAAAATTAATTTCTTTGCTATCCTCCAGGCACATGTGAACAGTATATAATATAGTTTGTGACCAGACTGTCAGTTCCCAAGACCAGTCAGTTCCCAAGACCAGTCTGAGATTGGCTGAGCTGGGCGAAGGGGGCTCCAAGTGAGGCTGGAGGAAAAGCTGACAGGTTTCCCCTCCCATTCCCATGACCAGGTGAGTCACTGTAATATCTTACATATCAGCTATGTCAAGATTACTTATTTTAAAAATTATATCAGTACGTGTACCTCCATTAGTGTTCCTTCATTGTTAAGCTGACTGCATACAAATAGAAACCTAGATAAAATATGAATAGAACAGACATTTATACAACTTAAAATTTGGAATATTTTCTGTAATGTTTTCTTTCTTCATTAAGGAGAGTTTGCTTTAACTCATACACTTTCTAAAGAACTTCCAGTTTTCTTATGTACAACAATACAGTATCATGAAACGGGCCCACATTTACTAATCTCAGATTTGGGGAGGACTCCCGAGCACGTGAACTATTAGAGACTGACCATTATTACTTTCTCCCTGACTTGGTCATTTCCTTTTTGCTGATCACTCTTAGAATCCTTAAGTGCTGTCCTCTCCACTTACTTGGAGATTTTGCGTTGGTCCTGGGGCACTCTGCTTTGACTCTGATTTTTCTTCTTCAAGTGCCTTCTTTTCTTCTTTAGGTGGACTACTAACAGTAGAGTTCATCTGGGGACGACCTAGTAAATGAAAATCTGACTGATCTATACCAGCCATTGTGGCCAGCTGCCCAAGCCTGGACCAGAGGAGGAGAGGAGAAAAGATAAAGGTTATTATAATCACAGAAGAGCAGTTTAGATTTCCCCAGACCTACAATCATGAAATACTTCTAAAATCTTAAAAGCCAACATCCTACTCCATACTACAAGCCTCTCTCTCCCCCAAATTCTCAGCCCTTTCCAGATTCATCCTCTAGGAGACATCCCACTGTCTCACTAGCAGCTTCAACATGTACCGTGCACCCCGTCCACTGCCAGTCACACCTCCATTCCCACACTTCTTTACCACCTTTCCTCCAGTTTCCAAGAATGTGTTTGTTCCTTCCTTCCCAACACCAACTCATTCACTGACAAAACACCACTCCATCAACTGTCAATCTCCACTTCCCTCTTTCAGCAAAATTGCTCACGGTTGAGAACCACTGACCTATATCTTCCCTGCAGATTAATAATAATTTTTATGTCTAAGACAAAAATAACTTTAATTCAAACTTATCAAACAAGCAAAGTAAATGAAAGATAGGAAAATTCTTATCCATTCCCGAATATTTTCAATGAAAACTGCTTTCAATTTAGTCTTTACAAAAAACTGTACCTACTAATTACTCTGTCTACAGGTTACTCTTTTATAATGGGCTCCCCACTCTACCAAAGCAGGCTCCCCTATTTGCATTTCTTAAAAAATTTAATTCCTCCTTTTAAAACGTCAACTATATTACCTATAATTACACTAAATTTGGCTAAATATGGCCACATAAGTGATGAAAATTGCTCCAGTTCCTCAGCAAACTACCATTATAGTTGCAAAGAGAAGAACGCCATGAAGAGAAATGAACTAACCCAGCATCTTTAAGGAGATCCAAGAAAGCATGGAACTTCTGAAAAGAATTCTCAATGCTGCCCAAAACACCTTCATCATCCAGGATCATGCTTGTGGACATGAAGGGCTTCAGACAAAGAGAAAGTTACATTTCTTAACTGGGCATTTTCATGTTCTAGCTATAAAAGAAGACGGAAAATGTCTGACATGATTTTTTTCTCATTGTCATCAAAAGTAGTCTTGCCTAGTTTCAAGGAACAAAACTAAAACACTCAAAATGTAATTAATCTGTAATTAACCTAACTCTCCACCAGTAAAGACAGAGACCATTATCACATAATAACCAAAACCCCCAGGCACCCAACAAAGTTTCCTGTATAACGCTTAGGTGGTATATAAGTAAACCAAAGTTATCGTTTTATTAATGATCTTTCACGAAAGATCACATTTCTAACTGGTTCAATTCATAATGGAGCCTCATTCCACATCAGAAAATTACCTGCTTTAAGTTTCCCTTAAATTAGAAAGTGAATTATAGAATCTGATCTGAACAAAACATATTACAACTCTGCTGAATGTTAAGAATTAACTTTAGTGAACAAAATATCTAATGCTTACGTTTAAAAGTCCTAAATCATACCCAACCCAATTTATTAAATGTACGATCACCAATGTTTTCTTTGGCTCCTTCAAAATATTCACTCCCGTGCACTCTTCCCCTTCCGCTCATCACCTATGCACTTAAAACCCCCTATAAGGTCAACTCCAGTATTTCTCAGAAAGGCTGTTATGTTCATGATGCCCCTTTTGCCTTATATAAGCAGGTGCTCACCATTTATTGAATGAGTGTCCGCCAATCCAGTGGATATGCACTTTGAAAAATTCCTCCCTACACTCAACCTCTGATAAAGTATATTTAGAACTTTTTAGATTATGCCCTGCTTTCATGCACATTACCTAATGTAATTCTTATAGTATATATTTTTATCTTTCATTGCATTCTTAGAAGTTTTCCAATCTTAAATTTATTTAAATGATTCACTTTCCTAATTCATTGCCAGGAGAGTCTCATCATGTCTTTTATGCTACTGTATATATAGTATATGCACAAGAAGTGCTTTCTTGAATCAAAGAATCATGAACAGATCATAAGCTAATGTCATAAAGCGCATGTGGGCGCGCACACATACACACACACACACATACACACACACACACACACACACACACAACGAGATTTTCATATTTTTAAAAACATGCTTTCTGGAATATAGATCATATGATCACTAAATACCAGTAAATGCAAAAGTCCATATGATACAACCAATTTGCAACATATTACAGTTTTAAAGTTTACAAACTATGTGTATATGGATTAAAATCAAATCGAAATAAAACCAAAACACTCCCAAAAGTATAAGAAATTGTTTACTTCATTGACTCATTTATCAGCCTTAAGTCTTATTACTCTTTCCTCCTTTAACTGCTTTAGGCACTCCTCCAGTTTTTCCTAAACAAACAGAGTAAATGTTATAACTAATTCGTAGTATAATATCCAAAAGCCTTTCCAGCTATAGGACTCATCAGGATTTAGGGGCAGAGCCAGAAGTGAACTCAGATTTTAGTCTGCTGCTGGTAATATCGTACCATGCTAGTGAAATGAGTTATCAAAATCTATCAAATTAGCATAGTAAAGATTTATTTAAATTCCACTTTTTCCAACATAAATTTGTGGCAGCCCACCATAAAAGGCATATACGTATAACATAGCAAGTCAGAAATAGTTAAGAAGAAGAAAGAAAAGTTCTATTTTTATTTGTGGGTCTCTTTATAGTAGGAACTCCTATTAATGAACATGCTTAACACACCTGAATTGCATAATTGCAGATTCAAAAGCATTTTTTTTTTAAAGTAACCACTTTATTTTATTTTATTTTTTTTATTGCGGTACACGGGCCTCTCACTGTTGTGGCCTCTCCCATTGCGGAGCACAGGCTCCGGACGCGCAGGCTCAGCAGCCATGGCTGACGGGCCCAGCCACTCCGCGGCAAGTGGGATCTTCCCCGGATCGGGCATGAACCCGTGTCCCCTGCATCGGCAGGCAGGTGGACTCTCAACCACTGCACCACCAGGGAAGCTCCAAAAGTAATCACTTTTAAAGCAATTTACAGTCAAGCACTGTTCCTGGAGTTCCCTGGGCATTAAATCTAATCATCAAAACCCTAAGAGGGGGCTTCCCTGATGGCGCAGTGGTTAAGAATCTGCCTGCCAGTGCAGGGGACACGGGTTCGAGCCCTGGTCCAGAGAGATCCCACGTGCCTCGGAGCAACTAAGCCCGTGCGCCACGACTACTGAACCTACGCTCTAGAGCCCCCGAGTCAAAACCACTGAGCCCGCGTGCCACAACTACTGAAGCCTGCGCGCCTAGAGCCCGTGCTCTGCAACAAGAGAAACCACCGCAATGAGAAGCCCGCACACCACTACGAAGAGTAGCCCCCGCTCGACGCAAGTAGAGAAAGTCCGAGAGCAGTATCAAACACCCAGCGCAGCCAAAAACAGATAAATTTATTTAAAAAACAAACCGTACGAGGAAAGAACAATCACTAACTCCATGTTATTTTACAGATGAGGGAAACAGAGGCAGAGAAGTAGAGTAAGTAGAGCAGCACAGCCAAGGTCACACCACTAAGTAGCAGAGCCACACTGTGGACTCAGGAAGCTGGGTGCCATTCCTGCTCACGGAGGTGGTAGTCTTCCCATTCACCAAGGTCACTGAAATAAAATGAACACTGATAAACTCCCTTAGGAGTTTCAGGAAATAAGACACTTCGGTCCGTGAAGTGGGGACACTGCTTGCAATAGGCAGAATTCTAACAGAGCCCC